TTAGGGAGGGAAAAGGGGTTCATTTTCACACATTCTCATGAAGCTAGAACAAAGAAATGGATGAGAAAGCATGAACAGCACACACACACACACACGCACACACACTTAAAGGAGCTTGGATAAGTACCTCCCAAAGGCATGTCATGTGTCAAAGGTTTGGCCTCTAACCACAGTGTTACTGAAAGGCAGTAGAACCTTTGAGAAGCAGGAGTGTACTCTTGAAGGAAACACTGGGACCCAGTCCCTAGCTCTGCCTTTTGAAACCTCCCATTGCCATTGGTAAGCAGCTTCCTCTGACACTACCACGATGCACTCCCTCTCCAGGGGTTCGGGAAAGGGGTACTTCATGACTACAGATGAAAAACTCCAAAAATTTCCTCTTTTTAAGTTGAGTAGCTCAAGCATTTTTTTCACAACATGGGGAAGTTGGCTAACACAAAGTTTAAGAGAATCCTGGGAAGATGAATACAGATCTTTGAGACTTACCATCAAGAATATAAAAGCTAGGCTTCACATGGCGGACCATGCCTTTAGTCCCAGCACTCAGGAGGCAGAGGCAGGCGGATCTCTGTGAGTTTCAGGCCAACCCAGTCTACGAAATGAGTTCTAGGCCAGCTGGGGCTACAGGGAGACCTTGTCTCAAAAAGACTAAAAACAAACAAACAAAGAAACATGAACCTTCAAAGCATGCCAGCATACAAAGAAAAAGCACCTCATGTTTAAAACAGGGTATGTCTTTAGTGACACTTACTTTTGACGGATTCATGAAGCATGATCAGAGTACAAGAGGAGCGCTTCACATTGGACTGCTCCACAAGAATGCAAAAGGGGGAGCCATCGTCTTTAACATCCTGCAGCGCACGAGTGAGGCCCGATTCAGAGACAAGGTGAATTGTTTCCACCACAAGACCACGATCCACGATCCCGCAAGCTGCGGCCAATGGATGTGGCATAATCCCTTAAAATACACACACACATACACATACACACACACACGCACACAATAAAAACATAGATTACTTACAATCAATGAAAGGGAAAAAATATCCATGTAACAAACTGCTTATTTAGATACATTTTATGTACCACACTTTTAAGCAAAAAAAGGTTAAGACAGGCTGTTTTTACTATATTTAGGTAAGTACAGTCTTTTCTAAAACTGTAAAATCCTTTTGGTTGAGTATGTATGTAACTTAGTAAACAAAGCAGAGCGTGTGTTTTTGTTTGGTATATGGGGTAATATGCTGGGCAAGCACCTTGTCCTTTTCCAGATGGAAACACTCAAGAGCTATTTGATGATGTCATTTGAGAGATCAGAAAAGAAAGTATAATATTGTTTTAAAGAATGGGTGAGTAGGCTTTATTCAGAAAAATGAGGCAATGCTCATCTCCAGTTGGCTCCAGGAATAGACTACACTGTGTCACTATCACGAGGATTCCACCATATGGAGAGAGTAAGTGACATGGAATCAGCCAGTATTCACCACTCCTTAATAAGCCTTGGATAAAAAACCCCAAGAACTTTCATGTCCAGCATCCTCCCAAGCCACTCACTGGGGTGATGGGACCAATTTTGCCCAGTAACTATTTCGAAGCCTGCAAAGCCCTGGCCACATCTTCTGTCCTTGATTTCTTTTCTTATGCCAATCCATTTGACACTTCAGCCTTTGATTAACTTTATTAAAAGCATTAGTACTGGCCTTACATGGTGATACATGTGTTTAATCCCCAGCACTCAAGAGGCAGAGGCAGAAGGATCTCTGTGAGGTTGAGGCCAGCCTCGTCTATATAGTGAGTTCCAGGCCAGCTGGGGCTACAGGGAGACTCTGTCTCAAAAAAAGCACTACTTTCTAAAGAATGCCATAGCATCTGCTCTGCAACCTAAATTCCGTACCAAGCATTCACACTTCTAGCAAGACATAGTTGGAAAAAACAAAGGCAAATAAATAAATAAATAAAAGATTAAAGAAAGGACTTCAACCCATTTTGGGCTCTGTAGCTTCTAAGCTTCAAACATCCTATTCTCTTACCAAACTAATTTGTCAGTCCTGGATAATCAATTCCCCCACGCTTCTTTTCTGCTGTGCTCCCTCTGCCACTCTGTTGTCGTTCACTCACTAGTCCTCAGCTCAAAGGCTAAATACAAATGGTATTGTGCTTGGTCATGTCCTCAACTCATCTCCAAACTATGGCAACCCACTCTTTCTTCTATGGATACGCTGCTGCTAGTGGGATGAGCTATCACAACATTAGGTTTTGTCGTTATTGTTGTCTGAGATAGTCTCATGCAGCCCAGGCTGGCTTAGAACTGGCTATGTAGCCAAGGATAAGCTCTAACTTCTGATCTTCCTACTTCTGTCTCTAAACACTGGGATTACACACTGAGAATATAGGCATGAGCCACTGCACCTGCTTTATTCATGCTAGGGGTGAAAGCCAGGGCTCTGTGCTTGGTAGAAAGTGCTCTACCAACTGAGTCCCAGCCCTGCCCTGCATTCTCCTCTTCTATTGTTACTTATGTGCATGATTTATCCTGTTGGACCACACCTCTTACAAACAGATTCACGTTCCTTAATGTGCCTAGCAGAGAGCTTTACCCGCACAGTCAAATGTAAGTTTTATGAACTAAATTTATTACTAGGAAGGCAGGAAAAATGCTTCTCTGGCTAGCAGTTTAGGAAAGTATGGATGATTTCAGAAAAGAAATCCAGGAAGAAAACAAGAAAAACAAGACACGCTTCAAATAGTCCACGATTCAAAGTCATCACAGAAATAATTCCTATTAGATGACAAGATCTGAAATTTAATTACTGTCTTGCAGAATAAAGGAATGAATTAACCAACTAACTTATCACTACAATTCTTCCTGACATCAAAATGACAACAGAGCAAGCAGCATGCCCTGTTCACAGATCGTCAGCAGCTGCAGACTGCACAGTGGCTGACAAGATTCTGAGCTACATCCACTTCAGTGTCCTAATCCATGGCTAACTGCCAGACTCTGAACACCAGGCAGGGGCTAGGCAACAACTGAGGACAGCTTCTAATGCCACTCCAGATGGAGGGGAGAAGAAATGCAGTCTCAGGCACTCTTCACTACAAGACTGCCCTCAATTAGTGCCAATCGCCTGGCTCCACAAATGGAAACATGGTGAGAACATCAGGATTGTGTCAGTCCAACAGCAGCTGGAGCCAGCCACAGTTCTAAGTGAAGAACAAGATGATCCAAGTAAGACAGAATTCCTGCTACAATATAGCTCAGCTGATAGAGTACTGGCCTAGCATGCACAAAGCCCTGGTTTCAATCCCAAGCACTGTATAAACCGGCTGTGGTGGTACATGCTTGTAGTCCCACTGGGGAGCTGGAAGCTGGAGGATCAGAAGTTCAAGGTTGTCTTCACCTACATAGCAAGTTTGAGGCAAGCATAGGCTACATGAAACCATGTTAAAGAAAGGGAGAGAGGGAAGGAAACCTCACTATTCTAACCCAGGCATTGTAGCTCAAACCTGTAATCCTAGCACTTGGAAGGCTGAAGCAAGAGAGTTGCCACAAGTTCAAAGTTAACCTAGACTACACATTTGGGCCCTGCCTCCAAAAGACAGAGAGGAAAAGAAGCTCATGTAGCCATGAAGTGACTGGCTGATGAAGAGTCTGTAGCAAAGGTGCTAAACATAGGAAACAAAGCTCCAATGCATACTGAGTCTTTTCTGCCTCTGGGTTCAAAATCAGTGTAAATAATTACATGATCAAATTAGTCCAGGGCATGACTGGAAGTCTTTCAACTATTAAAGGGAAATTCCTCCTCCTTTCTTCTAGTACACGGTCTCCCAAGGTCCAACCCAAATACCCTCCAAATGAGATGGAGCTATAATTTTGCTTTTGAAAACTCATAGAAAAAGTTTCTACAATTAGAGCAGATTTTTATAAAGAGGATAACAGTGAATAAAAATTTGGAGTCACCTTAATACCACAGATTTTTTTTTTTTTGTCTTGTCTTTTTTGAGACAGGGTCTCCTTGTAGCCCCAGCTGTCCTGGAACTCACTATGTAGACCAGGCTGGCCTCGAACTCACAAAGATCCGCCTGCCTCTGCCTCCCAAGTGCTGGGATTAAAGGTGTGCGCCACCACGCACATTTTTTGTGTAAAAAAATGTAAGAAAAGCCGGGCATGGTGGGGCATGCCTTAAATCCCAGCACTTAGAAGGCAGAGGCAGGCAGACCTCTGTGAATTCTAGGCCAGCCTGGTTTGCACACCAAGCTCTAGGCCAGCCAGGACTATATAGCAAGACCTTGTCTCAAAAAAAAAAAAAAAAAAAAAAAAAGTGAGAAAGCCCAAGGCAGTCCTGCCTTATGTGTCCTGGTCTCCTAACAGCAGAACTCTGTTCTCACCAGGCCTGATCTTCAGTATCACTTAGTAAGCACCTAGCTAACAGCAAGTATGTAGCCCTCAAGTCAACCATTTGTCTGCCGGTCAGACTCTGCCAAATACTATGAAAGCTGATGTAAGCCAGAGACACGGCTGGTGCCATACTATGAAGTCACTGCCAAAGGCAATTTTAACAGTGTATAAGAGGCCCAATGCAAGGGTTAGACACAGCCTGAAGGGGGCAAAAATGTCAGCAACATAGAAATTGTTAATGAGAGAAGACTTGAGAAATCTGTCTCTTCCTCCAATTTAGTTATCCCAACAGCAAGATTTTTGCAATTTTTTTTTTGTGTGTGTGTGTGTGTTTTTTGAGATAGGGTCTCCCTGTAGCTCCAACAGGCCTGGAACTTACTATGTAGACCAGGCTGGCCTCGAACTCACAGAGCTCCTACTGCCTCTGCCTCCTGAGTACTGGGACTAAAGGCATGAGCCACACACTCAGCTCAAATTTTTGCAATTCTTAAAGGAATGTTATAATGTTGACTCTCGGTAACTTATGTTCCAAAGCCTGGATATTTAAATCAATGAGTATGCATGTACCCTCATTTGACAAACTGAAAAGAAATAAACTTACCTCTGGTCTTTGTCCATAGAGACAATAACACAATCTGAAGGCTTCTCACGATCCCATGCTTTCTGAAGCACTTGATAGCAGTGCTGGAAAAGCTCTTCTTCAGTGTCCTGCTGCTGGCAAGATCTGCAAAACAGGTGCGCTGGGGCTTCTGACAGACCAAATCACAGTCACTGATGGCTGTCTGGGTCACCCTACACAAGCAAAACACAGCACTTCTACAAGAATAGTCAGAAAACTGTAAACAGAGTCTCGACAGAATTCTTACCTAGCTGAAAGTACCGGCATTGTTCATGGTTGTCTTCACTCCTTGTTGAATAATCAGCCACATTCCCCCATAATTCTTCAGTATTGCTGGAAACAGGAAAGTATTTTCTCACTGTGTGGATATGTTATCCCTCTGAATACGCCCCATAACACAAAAACCAAATACCAGATCACCTGGTGCCAGCTGTGGCCAATCACCTAAAGCTGCGTGTGCTTAGAGATATGTCACTGCACGAGTAACTGGTCTCATTTTAGGACACAATACGAACCTAGGATTTTCTGACTTTTCTCATTCACTTCTTCTCATCTGTGATGATAAAAAGTACTAAATGGAGTCACTATCCTTGTCAAGACTCAAACCAACGAGACAGATTGATTCACGCTTACAGATTTAGCCTAAAGCATAAGAAAAATGCCTTTCAAAAATGTTCATCAGTAAAAGAAGGGTGCTCATTTCTAAACGTCTTTGTTAGATACAGGTAAAAAGGAACCATTGAGCTCTGCTCCCTCAATCAATCCTAAATACCCCTCAGCTCCCGAGAGCAAGCTATTATTTCCCCTTGTTAAAGGCGTGCAAAATAGTGCACAGATGCTAGATAATCTATTAGCCATCCAAAGTAGTCCCCTTTGCTGTGATTTAACAGAGGAAAGGGGGGATTAGATGCACTCTGTACCCTAAATCAGGCACTTTTACTACGACTCCCCAGTATCTAGATACCAATGTTTTTTGTCCACAAGGAACATCCTGTCAGGGAGAGAAGCCTCTGCAGGCAGCAATTAGCTGTGTTCCCACCAGAGGCCTCACGCCGCACGGCAGAGCAGCACAGAAGACTGTCAAACTGATTGTTCAGCAAGCCGCCAAAAGCATCCATCCCTTTGCTTCTCCCCTTCACAACTTTACTTCAGGTTCTTTTAGTACACCTCCCAACAGATGTGACTGTGCCAAGTGTTTGCCTGAGTCAGTGACTCCCTAGCCCGAGGACCCTGAACTCCAACCAACGTTCCCTTGCCCAGCAGCTGCAGTTTTGCCTGCCGTCTCTGACAAACGCTGGCCACTGAAGCCCGCAGCCATTCTTTAAGCTACCAACACTCTCTAACCCTTGCTGCATTCTGTTCTTTCCCTCAAACTTTGTATTCCCTTTGTCCCTCCCTCCTCCTTTCTTTTTGCTTCTTCCCTTCCTTCCTTCTTTCTTGGGGGAGGAGGGATCAAACCCAGGGCCTCCACCATGTCAGACAGGTACTCTGTCTTACCTGAAAGAAACTAACCCCCATTAACAGTCACTCCTGAATTCTATCTATACTTCCAAATGCTTCTGCAGTTGAGGAAAGAATTTTCAATTTTGAATTATTAATTTAATATGACACAAAATACATCTTTAATGCAGACAGAAGGAAGCATTGTCAATTCAAATACAGTTCAATGAAAAGTGCTTTTACCAAAACTACATAAAAAGATCCAAGGTGAGCATCTCAAAATGCAGTGTTGTTTTACCTGTTGTTTCACCCACCGCTGAACGTAAAAGACAGAAGAAATGAGCTAAAGTAGGCTTTGAAAGTGAGTTACAAACACAATTGAAAGACAGGGTGAACAGCCCTGCCTGACATATTAGTAAGTAAAAGAAACACGGTCTAGAACAACATACTAGTGTGAGTCTCTGAAGTAAGTAAAAAAAACAAGGGGAAGTGTGCCCAGCCTGTAGCTGCAGCTGCCTGAAAATCTTAGGTAGGAGGATCACTTGAGTCTAGAGTTTGAGGCCAGCCTGGAAAACAAAGCAAATTGCTTCTTAAAAAAAAAAAGGCCAGCCATGGCCACACACACCTTCAATCCCAGCACTTGGCCAGCCTGGTCTATATAGTGAGTTCCAGGAGGTCCAGGCTGGGCAGGCCAGGACTATTTAATGAAATCCTATCTCAAAAAAAAGGGGGAAAATATATTTACCGAACAATAATAAAAACTGGAACAGCCTAAAAAGAGAATCTTCACTTTAATATTGAGTGCTTTTGCATATTTATCCATTCCTCAGGTTAAAAAACATTTTTTTTAAACAGTTGATATTTTTCTCTTTGAGCAATTAGATGGTAACAGAAAAAAAAGTATGCATAGAACAGAGTCAAGAGCCTGCTAGAGAGGAACCACAAGCAGGCAAGTCACCCAGAGCTGGCTGCAAAGCACCGCAAAACAAGGCCTGGTGGCTAAGGCTCTTTGGCCTTCAGTTAGAGTCCCAATGACTACGGAAAGGCAAAAGTTAAAGTACAATAGTTAATGCGATCAGCTTGACCCAGGAGACTTCCCAAAAGCAAATATTAATAGCAGCAATTTTAACAAACATCTAGATCTGCACAGTAAGAACACATTTGCATTACTACTAAAGCTTTTTACAAATTGAGCCACAACAATAAAATCTTACCTTAGCCTGTCTTCACCCTCCTGTAAGTAGCCCTCTTGGGGAGAATGAGAAGTTGGCAGAAAAGGTTTCGATGGCTTACTGCTAAAAAACAACAAAGACAAATTATACTTAAGAAGAAATTATTTCCCATAGTTCATACATTAGTTTCCACAGTTCTGGTACACTCAAAGGTGATTAAGTCTTCAGTAAAACTGGATTTCAAAACTTGAACAAAGGCTTTTCTCAAGAATTCCTCTGTCAGAAACCTTACTCTATTCTGTTTCTATTTTTGTTTAGTGTATTTGTTCAGCTGCTTTTACAGAGTTGGCAACTGAATCTGCGGCTCTGACACAGGAGAAGACCATTACAACTCACTGAAGAAGGGGCTTCAGCACCGTCAGTCTGAGATGCGCAAGTGAACGGAACAAACCTGAAAGGACACACACCATACTGGAAGTACTGGGAAGCTAAAAACCAAGAACCACTGGTTTCGATTTAAGCCCCTTAAGATGCTCTGAGATGTTCCACAACATCATCAAATTTCCAAACATTCTCTGCCACTTGTAGCAACCCTGACATTCACTCCAAATGAAGTTCCAGATCTGTGTGCATCAACTCACTGCAAACACCTTCCCATAACTGGCCATTGCTCTATTTACACTCCAAATACACTTTGACACTCATAGCCCCTAGCCGCCTCATTTAAGGGATGTGACTGACACAGCCTGAAATCTAAGACAAAAATAAAGGCCAAACCTTAGAAGAAAAGGCCTGGTCCAAGCTGCATGCTGAAAGAAACAAGAGGTTTTGACAAGATTATTTCAGAAATGGACTGAGAGGGTTAAAGAGTTAGTGGAAAGCATTCCATTTCCACAAAGGATGAGCACAGATGCTCCACTCGACCCTCTCTCAATGATCCTGGCCAAGTTTGAAGGCCACGAAAAGGAATAAGCAGATGGTTCGATGTGAGTAAGTCAAAAGGAAGTTGCCTTTGCCTTATTCGGCTTCCTAGCAACTAAACCAAATCATGCCAAGAAAGCCAGCCGGCTCCAAGGAGCAGCGCCGCAGGGTGCTGGAAACCCAGTGGTTGGGCAGGGCAGAAAAGACCTTAAGGCACCCCCACCTGGCAAAGCAAACCCCTTGCCTACCAACACCCATGCTTCCCATTTCCCTGCAGCGCCATTCCAGCCTACCTGCCCACGATGATGCCTGTCATCTAGCCATTCATTTCAGTGAGGGCAACCTTTCAAACTCCACTGACACTGGCTGAGCAGTCCGGCATAGCTGTCAAAAAAAAAAAAAAAAAAAAAAAAAAAAAATCACTCCCCTTATCCATGGGAGGGAAGGCCCCATGCTCTCTTAACACACTCTAGCCAGCTGGACAAAGGATTCTGCAGGCCAAAAAGGCAGCATCGGTGCCACCCATGGTCAGACACTGCAGCCCAAGTGCCGAGGAAGGCAGGCGGTGTACACAGGCCAGGATCTCAGAAGCTTGAAAGTAACCCTGTTAGAGATAGGGTGTGCTTTTGGAAGTGCTCGTCACGAAATTCCACTGGACTATGATATGAACATTTGAAATGTGCCCTGTTCCAACTTTCTTCTGGTTCTCTGTCTAGAACTTGTAATGCTAACTAACTACTCTTCCCTTTACTTCTTCACATCTCCTAGGCACCATTCAAGGACTTTCTTTTCTCCCTAGAGATAAGAGTTATGCAACCTGGTAGTCTTTTAGATAGACCCACTGAAGGGGTACCCCAATTGCCTCATCCTGCGTCCCTGTTCAGTATGGAAGAAGCCAGAGCAGTCTGCGTCCTGATTTCCTATCAGCAATTTGGGTAACCTCTTCAGAGGATGGTGTGATAAGAATAGGAGGTAGGAATTGGCTAGGCAGTTAGGGTAAAAAGACCCCAAAGAAAAGCAGCCAGTTTCTTGGCTAAAAGTCAAAATGTCCTTGGGCCTCTTAGCAACATACTCTGTTCCAAAGGCCAAAAATGTCAAAAGTATTTGGGAGCCAGGCATGGTGGTGCATGCCTTTAATCCCAACACTTGGGAGGCAGGGTTTAAGGCCAGCCTGGTCTACATAGTGAGTTCCAGGACAGCTGGAGCTACAGGGAGCCCCTGTCTCAAAAAGACAAAAGAAAAAAAAAAAAGTATTTGGGAGCGCTTATCTAATCTCTAAAAGATTTTAGGTTTACTTCTTCAAAGGGGGGGAATGTTAGAGTAGCAAAAAGCCCCATAAAGAGAGAGAGAGAGAGAAAAGAAGGAAAGAAGGAAGGAAGGAAGGAGAGAGAAAGAGAAAGAAAGAAAGAAAGAAAGAAAGAAAGAAAGAAAGAAAGAAAGAAAGAAAGAAAGAAAGAAAGAAAGAAAGAACACAAATTTGTCAGAAAAAAGTGATGGGGAGATATGGGAAGTGTTGGAGAGGAGGGAGTGGGTGTGGATTTGATCAAAACAATTTACATGCATGTATGAAATTCTCAATAAAGTTTTTTTGAAAATTAAAAAAAAGAGAGATAGGGTGTGTTCCTGCTCTCCCTAAACACAGAAGGAGAAGCCACTCAGCAGATTAGAGATCTTCCTGACCTGACAACACATTGTAGTAACTGGTGATAACCATTATAACCTCAGTTCCTCTCTTAATCAAGTGGTGAATGGGTCAAACATGTTAAACAGAAGATAGAGTTAGTAAGTTTATCTTGATAAATAAACAAATCCTCCCAGGTGTTCAATAAATGAAGATGTTTTGATGCTCTATATTGAGCTTTGTCACTACCAGGCAAGCCAGGTCACAACTTCCCCACACACTTTTCAGAGTTGAGGAAACTGAGATTCCTGCCACATGACTTCCTATAAGCTAAGCCTCAAAGCCTAGATTCAATTTCTGGTGGGCATGTCTCCAAAACCCTGGCTCCTTTTAAAAGAAAATATTTTTTTTAATTTATTATTATCATTATATAATATATGTGTGTTTGATATATGTGTGAACAAGAGTACATGTGTGCCATGGTACACAGGTGATGTCAGAACAACTTTCAGGAGTCAGTTCTTGCTGTTCTGTTGTTCAGACAGGGTCTCTCCTGTTTGTGCTGCTCTGTGTACTCCAGGCTGGCTGGCCTGTGAGCTTCTGGGTGACCTCCTATCTCTGCCTCCCATCTTGCCAGAGAAGTGCCAAGATTAGAGATGCAGGCCACCACATCTGACTTGTTTTTTTAAATGTGGGTTTTGGGGATCAAACTCAGGTTGTCAGGCTTGCAAGACAAATGGTTTTTTACCCACTAAGCCATCCTGCCAACCCCACTGGCTCCTTTTAATACTTCTTAGACCAGAAACTCCAGGTTTGCCCCAGGAAGTCAGAAAATTACTTTTATTTTTTAAATATTTTATTTATTATTTTTATTTTATGTGTATGAGTGTATTGCCTGCAGGTGAGTGCACCCGTGTTGTGCAATGCCATGGAGGTCAGAAGAGAGCTTTGGATTCCTCTGGAACTGGAGTTAAGGACGGTTTGTAGCCACTATGTGGGTGATGGGAATTGAACCTGGGTCCTCTGCAAGAGCAGTCAGTGCTCCCAACTGCTGAGCCATCTCTCCAGCCCCCAAAAAATATTTTTAAAAAAGGAAAAGGAAAAGCAATGGAAGCAGGTCAGGTAAGAGGGATGGTGACATCGTCATTCTAAGTTTTCATGACAAATAAGCTAGCATAGTTAAAAAAAAAATCCTAATTTAAGAACCTGAAGAGATGGGGAGGGTCCAGAAAGCAGTGTGCCTGCCCAGTCTCTTCTGATCATCTTAGATACCATAGGGTCTTGATACAGATGGGAAAGAAACAACTCTCACACTGCAGGTGGGGATGGATATAGCTCAGAAGAATCTCAGAAGACAGTTTGGAAGGTTCTTAAAAAGTAAAACAGAGCTGGGCGTGGTGGCGCACGCCTTTAATCCCAGCACTCGGGAGGCAGAGGCAGGCAGATCTGAATTCAAGACCAGCCTGGTCTACACAGCAAGTTCCAGGCTAGCTGGGGCTACAGGGAGACCCTGTCTCAAAAATATGAAAAAAAAGTAAAACAGGAGCTACAGAAATGGCTCTGTGAGTAAAGGCTTCCTCTGCTTGCATGGGGACCTGAGTTCGAACAGTCAGGGTGCTAGAGAAATGGCCCAGAGGTTAAGAATGCATACTGCTCTTGTAGGACCCTAGTTTGGCTCCCAGTACCCATATGGGGTGGCTCACAACCACCTTTAACTCCAGATCCAGGGTACCTGACACCCTCTTCTAGACCCTACAGACACCTGCGCTCATATGTGCATACAACACACACACAATTAAAAATAAACCTTAATTTTATTCATTTATTTATTTATGCAGACTATTTATTTTATTTATTTATTCAGACCAGCCTGGCCTCAATCTCACAGAGATCCACCTTCCTCTGCCTCCTGAGTACTGGACTAAAGGCATACATCACCACGCCCAGTATATCTTATTTCAAAAAAAGAAAAAACAGCTGGGAAGGGCTGTTGTAGTCTTAGAGCTGAAGAGGCAGAAACAGGAGGATCCCCAGTGTTTGCTGGCCAGCCAGTCTTGCTGAATCTGCGAGTTCCAGGTCTCAAAAAATAAGTGAGTACTTGAGAGAGACACCATCAACATCCTGCCTCCATACATGTGTACACACATACCCATACACATTACATACCCACCATATAAACTAGCCAGTCTACTCCTAGATATTTACCCAATAACAATTTTCTCACTATAAAGAAACACCCAGGGCTGGATAACTTTATAAAGAAAAATTATTTATCTCACAATTTTAAAGGTTCAGGAGTCTAAACAGCTATTCTACCCAGGGCTCTGGCAAGGGCCCTTAGTGAGGGCAGGAACGAGAGGTCACATGGCAAACAGGAACCCAGGGAGAGACATGGTGCTGGAGCCTGAGCAACTCACTCCCGGCTAGAACACATTCTAGATCAGAGCTCTTCTGGAGGCCAGGTCCCCGACAGCCTAACAACCTCCCAAGGGTCCCATCTCCCAACATCACAGCATTGGTAACCAAACTTCTAACACTTTAGGAGACACACGCACGCAGAGCTCGTACTATACTGCTCTCAGAAACTTTACTTGTAAAGCAGCTGGAAACCAATGACCCATCTCAGCACAGTCAGGTCTTAGTCGGGCTGCCACAACACACCATAGATGGGCTGGCTAAACAACAGAATCCTATTTCTCACAGTTCTGCAGGCTGGAAGTCCAAGGTCAGGATGATCCAATGAATATCTCTCCTTGGCTTAGGATGGCTGCCTTTCAGAAATCTCTCTCTTCTATAAGACAACCAACTAACTAAGCCAATAGGATCAGGACACATTCTTCTGATCTCATTCAACCTTAATTATCTACTAAATGCTGTCTCCCAATATAGTCATACTGGGGATTTGAGTTTCAATATATGAACTGGGGAAATGGACAAGAACTGAGACACATCAGTGGCAGAACCCCTGCCTTTGTGCAAGGTTTTGGGTGATTCCCAACAGTCCAAGTAAAAAATAACAACAAAAGGGAAAGGGACCTATCTATCCAATATCGTGGATGAATCTCAAAATAATTATGCTGAAAGAAGCAAAAAGTGAGCGCTCCCCAAAGTATCTTTTTTAAAAATATATATTTATCATTTTTATTTTATGTGTGAGTGTATTGCCTGCGTGTAGGTAGGTGCACCTATGTATGCAATGCCAGCAAAAGTCAGAAGAGGGCATTGGATCCCCTGGAATCGGAGTTACAGACAGTTGTTAGCCCCCATGTGGACGCTGGGAATCAAATTTGGGTCCTCTGCAAGACAAATCAGTGCTCTTAACTGCTGAGCCATCTCTCCAGACCCCAAAGTATCTTCTGTATGACTCCCTTTACATATTTTAATTAATTAATTAATTTTTATTTTATGTGTACATGTGTTTTCCTTCATGTATGTAAGTGCACCTGTGTCATGCAAAGCCCTCAAAGGCCAGAAGAGAGCATCAGATTCCCTGGAACTGGAGTTACAGATGGTTGTTAGCCACCATATGGGTGCTGGGAACCTGAACCTAGGTCCTCTGTAAGAGTAGCCAATGCTCTTAACCTCTGAGCCATCTGTCTAGCCCCCCTTTACAAATTTTTGTAAAATTATATAATACATATACAACTTCTTACAAAATGCAAATTAAAGTAGTAAAAACAACAGATTAATTGTTGCCTAGGGTCCAGCAAGAAGACAGCCCAAGAAAACTTGGGGAGGTAACAATGTGTTCATGATCTTGATT